TCTCCAGAGATCTTTGAGGAAGATCCTGAGCCCGGGTGGGTTATTAGTTCTTTAAGGGACGAGCATATGCTACGGTGTACAAACAATTATATTTTCCTGTTTTACGAAATGGTGTACAACATTCTGTGAGATGAGAGAGAAAAGCTTAAACAATGCAAATAATGTATATCTGTGCGGGTACGAATATGGTGCGATTATGGGCGGGGCCACGCGTGCGGTAGAGAATGAGCGCATCCAAAAATCTTATCCATTTGTTTCGCCTTATTTAATCTCATTCACACTGTCATATGTGGTCGTCTGCATTTGGAAGCACATCTGTTCCAGTCATTCATGTTGTACGTTCCCCTGTTCTCACTTGATTATTTGCGAGATTTATACGGAGGCTCGGCTCCAGTGATTAGCAAGGAAAGCACCCAGAGTCACCCCCGACACCCCTAAAAGCCCAGCTCAATCGAGCAGGCCGCATGCCGAACAACAACATTGAACTTCTACTTCTGAAGTTTCCTAACTAAATGATTCCCTCTTCCGAAGTTCTCTGTCCATGTTTGATGTTTTCACCCGCCGTTCAACCCTCAGTGATTCACTCCCATAGCCACGTCAAACTGTTATTGCATGCCACACTTCGGGGTTCATTATTCTGTAGTATAATCACAATATGATACCATTCCGATACTTTCTCCCTTCCGATTTTCTCTGTCCATATTTGATCTTTTCACCTCCCGTTCAACTTTCAGTCATTCCCCCTATAGGCATGTGAAACCGTAACTGCATGCCATACTTCTTCCTGATCTATCCATTCGGACTTTTTGTGTCGCTGTCGATCGTAGTCGAGGAAGAGTACTCGGTAGTCAGGTATCGATCGCCGCAGGGTATTGGGATTTGGTGTATGATTGGGTGTAGATCAGATGGTCGTCCCCGGGAGGGAGGAGGGGTGAAACTGACAGTAATAGTAGTTGGGGGACGAAGAAAGGGTGAATATTCTGCTGGCTCGCTCTCTCCCTTCTTCCGTGTGCTCGTAGGTGCTGTTGAGCAGATGCACGCCTTGATATATTCCATACAAATTGCAACGTACAAGTAGGGACGGGGTCTGAGGATGAATTCAACGCGAGTGAGTGATGGGACGAGGCACAACTCCTGTGCTGCTGGCGCTGCGGCCTTTTTCTCTTTCCGTCATGTGTGTGTATTGGCAGTAGCGGCAACACAGCAGAGGAGGCCAGGCGCGATGTCAGTGGTCGGTCTGCTGCAGAGGAGGAGGAGGAACGCCGAGGGGACATGTAAGGCCGACGAGGAGTAGAGTGGCCGAAGGAGGCTGATGCGAGGACCAAGGGCAAGGCGAGGTAAGGCAAGGCAAGGCCCGGGCCCCCTCAAGGCCACCGGCCCTCCCCGTAGGAATCCTTCCTGCTTTTGTGGAAGAGCTCTGCTCTTCAAGAAAAAGGTCGATGAAATGGCAGCTTTAGAGATTTAGCTAAATACTTTCTTTCTCATTATCCAACGAAAACCCTAAACAACCCCTCCGATCTGCTTCTGCTTCTGCTGCTCACCGGGGTGGCCGCCCTGTACTACCCACCAGGCTAGAGGCCTAGCTCCCGGCCTCTACCATGGCAGCATGTGAAAAATCGGTCGTTTGGCCTAGAAAATCCCCAATTTCCCCCTATCTACGCGCGGCCATGATGCCGGAATCGCCTCACGACGATATTGAGCCCATTTTATAATGCGATGCACCGACTGACGATGTGCGGATGGAGGGCAACAGAGTGAAAGGGAAGGAGGAACGGAGGGACGGCGGTACCATCCGACGCCCATGAGCTTCAGTGGGGGTTGAGTGTCCGGAAATATTTCATAGAGGCACATTTTCGTGAGTACCCGAGCTCTGACCTGAGCTCGAGTGAGAATAGAGAAGGCTTCTGACGGGCGCTGCGGGAAAAGCTCTCGAGAATACTGGAGTACATCCTAGGACGCAGCAGTCACCAGTAGGAGCAGCCAGCCGCAGCCGCAGCAGCAGCAGCAGCCAGCAGCCAGCAGTAGCTAAGCTGAAATCTCTGAGTTGGGATTTGACTTCAAGAGTGGAATCTATCGTGTCTTCTTGGGGATGCAAGGACCTTTAGTCTTGTAGACTTTTACTCGTCTTCGTCGTCGGCAGTCGTCCATGTATGTATCGCCAACACTCCTGGAGGAATGTGCCCTTCACGTCGCGTCGAGTTCAATTCAGTTGGGTCGTCAGACGGTACCCGCTTCCATCGTCACATTGTTCGTGGATGAACGAGCGCGACGAACGGGCGCTGGTCGTCCGAGGCGACAACAAGAAACGATGTTATATATCGTTACGAGATATGGGTCGCAATTAAAAGGATTATACCGAAGCACGAGGGCTCAGAATTACTTGTCCACGGCAACGCAGATTATCTACTATCTATGTATATATATGAGGCTCTCTTGCTTTCCATGTCTCATCTCAGGCTCTCTATCTATGTGTCCAAAGCAGGACACTACGAGCACCCGATTGCTCCCAGGACCTTAATTGTGGCTACTGACTCATGACTCACCACCTTCTTGGGCTACGGAATTCTGCAGGGAGGTTCAGAACCCCAAGGTACCTCCTCCTCGTCCATCTCACAGGAACGGTACTCATGGAAATTCATGGCAAAACCTTGGGTTGGTTCTCGAAGTTGCTATGTGTATGGACTGACACCAGATGCGGTCCAAGCTTTCTATCTACGGCTTCCACAACAGTATAAATATAAACAAAGTAAAAAGTTTAATATGCGTCAACTAAAATTATCGCCACCACCACCACTGCATCGATCAGTTGAAGGCAACGCGGTTATTGGCGTGATTGCAAGCTAGAAAATGGGAAGGGAAAATTCAAGGATATTTGGGCTGGAGGATTAAAAAACGTCGGAAACGTTCTTACATCGATCGATGATGACTCTACTTTTGCTGTCGGCTGTACACGTCTGTCTGAAGTTCATCCAGTGGTTTGACATCTTGCAAGAAAGATCTATTTCTTTATGTTCGTCCCAGCAGTCGGGAAACGGAAAGAGTCGCAAGCTTCGAGCTAGCTAATAGCGGAATGCGCATGGTATCGTGGAGGAGACTGAACAGTCAGACACTAGGGTGCGCTATCTACCTCGTTCGGAGAGTAATCAGCGACTAGCTTTTATTCTGTTCTCCAAACAGCCCATCGCGAGCAGCACATAACTGAAACTCGTCCCGCATGAGTTGGCCGGCCGGCCATGAGATCGATGCACGGCTAGCGCGGCTGCATACGTGACACGCTCACTCATGAGAATCTTTCAGTTCAACTCTTCGGCAAGGCACTTTCGGACGTGGGATCGCATGGGGCCTGCCTGACGCATCTTTAACTCGACCAGATGCTTTCTTCGACTTCTGGAATAACTGCTTCCATCCCGAATTTCAATCTGCATTCGAATCTAGTCAGAAGCTGATAATGAAGTGGCTTCGATGATTGAAGCTTTTATTTCTGACTTCTCTCTGATGTGAGTTCTGTTAACTAAGACCCGCGAGCACGCTGGCAATGAAGAAAACGAACCGGAAGATGCTCCTAGCTCGTTGCGCGGGGCTTGGCTGCATGAATTCCATCTGGACTCCAGTTCATATTATATACATATGAATTTGGTCTGCGAGCTAGCCCGCGATTAGACGTTCCTGCGTCCCATGCTTCTTCCCCGCTACAGTTCGCCCTAGCTGAATCCGAATTCTTCGCTCAGGTCCCTCGTGGTGTCCATCCATGAATACTCGATGATGCATACGATCGCAATCCCCAGCCCAGCGTCACATTCTGGCTTTCGTGAGCCCCATCGTTCGTTCTCCACGTCTAGGTTTGCAGTGATGGTTCACTGGTTACTGCGAATGAACCGATTAGTCCTGAAATTAAAACAAGCAAAATTTTCAAATTACGAATGTCCCCGAGAGGAGAAAACAGGGAAGTAGCTCAGACCTTGAAGGTGGAACGCAGAGGACAATTCAATCATCCTTCGTTCCGGAGTGTGCTGATGCCTGCTACCGCTTACTGGATGTGACACTCAAAGCTATGAGTGGTCGATGCAAGCTTTTATCACATCTGGATGGGACGGACATGAGTAGTTGAAGCGAGCTCGTTGCAAGAGACATACTTCATACCTGAACAGCTTGAGCGGTAGCTCGAGTATCCACCAGGTTTTGACCCTTCGAACCCAGTCAAGTCCTGCAACACTTCCAATTGGGGGAAAGAAGGATCTTGATTATCTTGTTTTGCCGTTATTTGAACCTACCTCAGGAGGGTTCTTGAACGTCATTGTGAAGACACAAAATCCATGAAAAAGGTCTTTCCACATGCTCGAAGTTTCAGCGAGGCTACGTGAAACATAACAAGGATACGATGCTCAGCTGGTCAGATTTCAAATTCTGAAACAACACGGGACTGAACTCTCCAAGTGTATAGAGCCCCCGGCTTGCAGGAAAACTCATAAGCTCCTACAAGGTGAACGGACGACCATACAGAAAATCACCCCGGAGGAAGGTCAGATACGTTCAAGCAAGTGTTTACAAACATTGACCTTCTGTAGACCTCGAAGGCACGTAAATCTCCAGCTTCGAGAATCTAGAAAAATGGGGTAACATTCTCTCCCGGATCAGAAACTATTGTCAAAAGCATTCGGAGGCAAAATTAGCGGGTATTAGTTAATAGTATCGTCCTGAAAAATTATAGAAGATAAGCATGGAACATAATCACTGACCAGAAAATGTGAATCGAGCTCTGGGCCTTCCCGGTTGACATTTCCGATTGCTGATTTTGATTCATTTTCAGCAGTCCCGACACTATTTTCCAATGGACACGTGACGTTGAAGAAGTACAGAGAGATCCGGGGAAAGCGACCGAGTCCATGGAAAGGTAGACACTAGGTGATGCTGCAGAGGTCAAAGTAGAAGGCAGAAGAATTGATGCAGATCCAAATCTGGGTGAATTCAAAGCACGGAACCATGAAAAGCTCTTACGAAGTGAGTGGAAGAGTCAAAACTGTTTGAACTCAGATCTGCAATACATAGTTTTCGAATCGTCGGCTACATGTGAAGACCATCGAACCGAGGTCTCAAATATTAATCAAGAGTAAACTACACGTAGCCGAGCCCACACTTCTTGTTCTACTTCATGTGAATTTGTCGGGTGTCTTGGATGAGCTTGCGCCATGAAAATGGCTGAGTCTCTGGATTTTCAAAGGAATCTCCAGGTCTCCCGACAAACTTACTATTCACACGAGCCACTTTCGAAAGCTAGATAATTGCTTGCTTCTTCTAATTCTTCTATCAGTATATTACAAACTATCCTCAGAACATTGCGAATCCTCCTCCAGACATCGTGAAAAGGAGAATAGCATGAGAGTGAGACGAACCACCACAAGAGTCGGTCCGATGGTTCCATATCCCGAGCTAACTAGCTATGAATTACGTGAGTGGATCTCTGAACAACATATCAATCAATTTTCTTGCAGTAGGGTAACACAAAAGAAAAGCTATTATCGAGTCACGCGTATGATCCCGATGGCGAACCTCCGGAAGGGTACTGCCTGATGGACACAAGGCAGAGCTTCTGCTTGAAGAGCTGTTGTTGTAAGATTTCCGACAGAATCAGTGGGCTAGTCGTCGGTCTTGCGGGCATTGTCGGGGTGGGTCGGGAGACATTCGATGATCCATGATAGTTGGACGAACTCACTCCTGCTCCTCCTCCACTGGTTCCATTCGTTATCAGACAGGATGACGTAGAGCCCTGCTGCATCTGACTTCTGTTTCCCCCGTGGTTGTTCACGTTAGTGCCGTCGGGCAACTCGCCCAATTTTTCAAGAAGACCCACCTGCAGCTGCAGGAACTTCACGTACTCAATCGCTTCATCCAGCATCGAAGCCGTGTCCATCTTATTTCCTCCAGGAATAAGCTTCTCCAAGACCCTGACCCTCTCGCTGATCTTCTTACGCCGATGGCGAGCCGCCACGCTCTGAGGCTCTATCGACGTAGCATTATGCTTTCGGTTCGACGTCGCCCTCGACATATCATGATCCACCAAGGCCGAGTCCTTGCGAGACACATATCTTACGGCGCCTCCGGTGGAAATTTCCTGAATGATGCAGCTGCTGGGTTGCTGGTGATGGAGGCTGCTGGCGGACAGTTGTTGTCTGTTGGGAAAGTGGAGATCTCGGTAGAGAGCATCGGCCACATTCAATGTGGTCATCGGATAGTCGGAGCTGCCCACCGCCACCATGTTGCGATGGTGGCCGAACGAGGAGCCCGACGACGAGACGAGGGGCCTGCTCGTGCCGACGGTGGTGCTCGCGGCGGTGTTGCTGGCGGGCGGAATACTGAGCATGCTGCTGCTGTTGGGCTCCACCGCCGAAGCTGAGTTATAGCTGAGTCTAGCGCGCTTGTAAGGGGGCGGGCACGGCGACGGGCTTATGTCTTGAAAGCTCGCAACATTCAAGAGCGGATCTAGGGTTGAGCAATGATTCACGGTCATTGCCGCTGCGCTGCTATCAGATTCAGCGCCCGTCATGGCCCAAGAAACGTTCGGCGTGCGCCTGATCAGAGGGTTGGCATTGTTGCGTTGCATTACAAGACTCAGAGGCGACGACTGCCCGTGGCCGTTCGAGTCGGCCATATCAACTTGGCCAATCGCGGGGACCGAAGAAGACTCGTCGTAAAGCTCCTCAATGTGGAACCCTGCAGAAGACGCCGCAAAATTGCCGTGTACTACATCTGAATTCCGCCAGTTGATTTCTTCGGACGAGCAGCCGGTGATGGCCGAGCTCGGGAACGCGTAATCTCGGGCTCCAGAACTGCCGGACGAGTCTGCATCATGCAGGCATTCACTAGACGAAGAATACAAGCACGGCTGCTGAGCTGAAAAGTCGCTGATCAGTTGTGGCATTTGATCGCCGGTGCAGCGGTGGTCTTGTATCATGAAGTGATTGAAGAGCATTTGATGCATCAGCGGCAAAATATCCCCGCCGACTGGAAAGTTCGGGTCCCCCGAGCTGTTGACGGGGCCGGTCGCATGCGGCTGCACCTGCTGCGTGTCCATGGAAATGAGCTGTTGGCAATTGTTGCTCTGAGCAACATTTACTACATGTTGCGACGACGTTGACGACTGAACGCACATATCGTAAAGTCCCCCGGCGGTGCCTGTGGGCTGGAAGTGCGTCCTCACTCTATTGGAGTTCCATGCTGCTTGGTCATTTACTTGGAATATGGCAGGATCGGTCGTCGACCACTGAGAGATGGCCATAGGCAAGTGCAGATGATTACTCTCACCGCCCAGGTGCCCAAATGACCCAAATCCCCTCTCTTCGAAGTAGGGCGCATCCACAACGATCTCTTGCAGGCCGTAAGGTTGGTATTCCATTGCGATACGCGACTGGGACGACGACCACGGCGACGATCGAGGAGGGTTAGGGAATCGAGGAGCTATGAGATTTGAGCTGTCGGACCGATCGGATTGGCCGGTTGGCTGCAGAGGAGCAGATAATAGGTGGGATGAATGGCTATTGCGCACATATAGGCTCGGGCCGACGACGGAATCAGAGCTATATTCAAGCACCAGACGAGAGATATATATATAAGATATCCTCAACCAGGTACGCACGTAGTAGGCTATTCGAGGGAGAGAGCGAGAGAGAGATGAGAGCTATATGAGAGCTTCGTCAACTTTTTCTGTCGGCGAAAGTATGAGAGGGAGGGCGAGAGATCAAAGCTCCCTGGACTTGCACGGAGGAGACTCTCAAGGGAAATTTGAGAGATTGCTCGTAATAGATAACGAGGGAGAAGACAGGACCGTCAATGACCAGGGAAAATCAACAACTAGAACGAAAGGAGCGAACGGCGAGGAATAAATTAGACAAACCTCAGACAACGACAACTCACACATCTCCGTCGAGGGGAAGGCAGACGCAGAGAATTTTCATGTAATCCACTGGAAGGAAAGGACTTTCTTCCTCCTCGGACTAGTCGTTCATCTGACGTGACGATACGATACGAACCCAGGAGAGAGAAAGAGGGCACGAGTATCTGAGAAGAGGGGATATAGAGGGAAGAGAGAACAGCCAGCTCAGGACAGGACGCTCTTGACGAGACGAGAGCACGGTGTGAGAGAGAGGAGAGAGAGAGAGTGAGAAAGAGAGAGAGTAAGAGAGAGGAGAGGAGAGAGGCGCAGGAGAGGGAGGCGAAAGATGAGGCGAGAGAGAGGGAGATATGTGCTATGGAAAAGCGATGCATATAAGAGTAGAGCCAGGTCGGAGAGCTCTAAGGCGATGCTGACCGGTGCCAACCGGTTAATGACGCATTAGGGACCGTAATGTAAGTACGGGGCCAGGCCAATCAGAGCTCCATACCGCTTGTTACATAGGGTTACGTTGGGGCTTCTGTACTTTTCGCCGATGCAAGGTACACATCGAGGCAAAATGAACACACGAATTCGGTCTGGTTAGTGGGCGGACGGGAAACAAAAGAAGACGGATTGCGAGCCAGTGCAGGGGCCCACACAAGGGAAGATGGAGGAGAGGCGAGAGCAGGTTCAGAGAAGCGCCTAATTAAGACGTGTTGGGTGTTTTACTTAGTCCAGTGATTAGTTACTCTCGAGTTACTCCATGGGGGCAGTGCTATCATTAAAGTGAGCCTCGGTGGGAGCCACTGCTGGGATCGGGACGGGGCCGACGGGAGTCACGGGGCGGGCGGCGGAGGCCTGTTTGCGAGCAGAGCAGGGCTAGGCAAGGCAAGGCAAGACAAGGGAAAGGGAAACGTTGAGGCGAGAAGGGGGAGGAGGATCGCGAGGTGAAGAAGGGCTGGAGGGGATCTCTGGGGCCCCGAAACCCCCCGAAGACCATTCGAAAGAGAAACAGACTTCCGAGTACCCCTGGACTGGTAAAATTCCTTCCGAGCACCCCGGTTTCGGTCATCTCCCGGTCATGTTCGTATGCGCTTATCGTCGAACCTGGTAACCGGTGGACAACACCAGCTCATACAGTTGTCCCGGTTTCTGTAGCCTACCTCACGCTCCCTCCAGCGCTGCCATGGTCATCGATTGCTGCGGCTGGAACTTGGTCTCGGGACAGGACCGACTACATAACCAACTTTTGGGTCGTCGAGGGCAAATTGCATGTTGCTGCTTGCGACTGGGGAAAAGAGTTGATAGGAGGGACTGGGTATATACTCTTACGTGTGGTGTGTGTGGTATTATCAACAAATTGTATGCTTCTTATCGATGAATATTATCCTGGGATTGCCTTATCTTCAACGTTGCACATAATACTTCTGCCACCGTCCTCGACACCAGGACAGCTCCTCACCCGTCCCATGTCGTAACTGCGGCCAACCGAGTTTGGCTCCCACTCCAGTCCGGCTCTCGAACATGGTGGACCATGTTCTTGAACTCAACGGGCTGCTCGGCTTGTATGGAGAAGGCCGGGACAATACAGTGACGCATGACACCTGCTACTGGAATCTCGGTGAAGTCATTTTATAAGAGCGGAGGTACTCGGAAGTAAATTTTTGGCGAGGAGAAAGGTCTTTTCAAAACCAGGAGTCAATTGTGTCCGAGCACGTCTGAGCCCACTGTGCATGGCAGAGTTTGTCCCAACGTTTCATAAGCATTTCCTCACTTGATTGGCTAGGCTCAATCTCTCTCTTACGCATCGCCATTTATGTTGCGTCTCTCTCTTATGCACGCCACATTCCTACGACATTCTCCCCACATTGTCATTTCTCGTACCTTGTGGGTATACCGAGTCAGGAATATGTAGTATCTTTTTGTTGGTTCTTTTCAGCTGTCTCGTGGTGGAGGGTGTGTCGTTCTCCCCAAGTCCCAGCGTCTCCCCCGTCCCTCCTCGCCCGCCCACCCCTCTCGCTCGTCAAAACTATACGTCGTTCTCGTCTTTGTTCTTCTACTCCTGCTACTGCCGCTGCCGATTCTGCGGCTGCCGCTGCTGCTCCCGGCGCCCTCTTTGTCCTAAAAGGCTGAAAGAACAGTGCGCTATGGTTCGTTAAGAACAGTTAAAAATTCCTACCTCGACGGCGATCTAAAAAACTTCTCTTTATCTAGGCCCAGCGGCAGTCACAAGCCGGAAGTGGTATATCTCGCTCCCGCGGTCGCTCCCAGTGTTTGTCGGTGTTGATTAACTTTCCCTTTTCGCTGGCTGTTCGTTGAAACAAAAGGTCATTGGCAGAGAATTCATCATTTAGCACATCCAACATAGATAACTTGTGTTGTTAGCTCCAAAAACCCATGCACATTCTATCTAAACAGAACAAAAGTACGAAAAGACCTTTTTTGCTACGAGACCTAAGTCATTCGTGCCTGCTGCTGCTCCCGCTGTTACTTCTAGCAGATTGATCAGCGGTTTACGGACGAGCATAAATATATGAACATGAGTTAACTGCCTCCAGTACCATCATTATATCTCGGCTTTCCAACCGGGTCGAATGGAATTCTTTCGGTCCCCACCACACCATACCACGCCTCGCTACGACGGTATCTCAGAGGCGGCCAGGGCATAGAAGATAAGAGTATTCTTGCCATGCTTGAACCCATTGCTCAGCCCTCTATCTCCATTAAGGTCTAGGTGCATGCCTTATTACTGACAGACGGAAGTGTGTTCGAACTTCAATGAAGCCGCCCAAAGTTCACAAACCCTAGAAAGAGGAACATTTTTCTCTTGAATCTAAGACTGAGTTTGGAACCTGCAATGACATAGCACGAGCCGTCCCTTTGCAGTCAGGCACGCAGCAGACTTCTCAGGAACCCATTGAGTTTGTTCGTGCAAGTGAAGTGATTCGAATCTATTCCAATAATCAATTACACCTAATAAAAGTTTTGAACAGCTTTCTCTGCTTCCATGATTAGTGAGAGCATCTTTCTAATATTTCCAACGGTTGAATGCTGCAAGAATCTGAATCAATTAAAATACACGCCCAGAAAGTCAAGTCCATGTGTCAAAGAATGCTGAGAGGCTGAGACTCTGGCCTCTTAACCAGGAGTGGCCAGGCGAGAATGACCAATGGACTTTCAAGTAACCAGCAACCTAAAGAGACAAGAATGTTCTGCTGCTTTACACTGACTATATGGACCATTTGTTTTCCAAAAGTACTACATAATCTAGTGGTCGAATTGTATATTATGCATAAGATTTTCCTCCTTTCATTATAAGATCTCCCGTTTGTCCACTTTTGACTCACGCAGAAAAGTGGCCCTCGCTCGAGCCCGGACATGCTGCCGCTGGCGTCTTCTTGCGATGCACTTTTCTTGAAACTTTCAAACTTTCATGTTAAAATTTTTTTTCACTGTATTGTTCTGCAATTTCCTTTCTATCCGTGCAATGCGGCTGTTGAGACTAGTTGTACGAGTCTCAACAGTTCTATGATGGGGTCTTCCCATCCTTTTTGCTATATTTGTTGGTTCCCGTAAGGAAAATGTTCTCTTTATTAGCGATCTCTCCCATGCCACCCGACATTCGGAGCAAGATAGTCAAGTTCAAATCTTTGAAGATCGAAGATTGGTGAGAGACATTGAAAGTAAATTCCATTTTCAACTCCCCCGTCTTTCATTTCTTTTTTTGTGTATGTACATTTTGTGATGTCGAGCTAGAGTCAGATTTTCAGATTATAAGTTTACAGATGTTGCGTGTTCCACTTTTCTCGTTTCTCAGCCTCCAGTTCTCTGATGCATGTTCGTATGATTTGTTTGGGTTAGCGGGATCTATCCAATCCTTGAAGCCTTGAGCATGTTTCAAGTACTATTCTACAATTGCGAGCGCTCTAGATTGCTGGTAACCTGGATGATGTATTAACAGTTCGCTTCCACTCGAAGATAGCACCCTTAATGACAGACCTATTAAGTAGTAGCAACCTCTTTGAAGTAAAATAAAGGGAAATCCTGAAACGTTGCGACTTTGGGTTGGAACCAACGAAGCGAGTCTTACTCTGAACATATCTAAGGTGGGTTCGGGTGCTGTGAATTTCCACCCGTATTTAGCCATTGCGGGTTGTTAAGGCCACATGCATAAAATTCCATGCATGATTGTGGTGCTCTGTTTGCCAGAGAAGATCGTCTGGTTGTAAGATTAGAGACATCAGAAAAGGAGTATATCTAATTTTAAACAAATGTGGAAAGTCTGTATGATGAAATGGGTAAAAGGTTTATCAAGTAGGCCAGGTATGCAAGCGTTGTCCTGGCAAAGGCTCTAAAGTGGAGGACAATGTGGAAAAACATGACAATGTGTGGACGTCCTTGTCAAAGCTTGTGCGCTGAGGCTTATGAGTTGGTGGGGGAGCATATAGTTGTTGCCCATTCAAGAGCAGAGGACCGTAAGGAGGTAGTACCATTTCCAGGATAAGATCAAAGCTTTAGTTGAATATATGAAGTTTAGGAATTTAATGAGTCCCGAAGATGAAGAATGCAAGTCTAGAAACTCGAAGGTGCCGGTGAGGATCTAGAAGAGACTGAAAGCTTGTGAGAGAACTTCCACCGAATCCACATCTACACTCACAGTTCCACGGCTGCACACAGCCATGGCAATTATTAATATTCCCTCGCCTTATGCTATTGGGCTCGGCCGTGCCAGTGTAGTTAAACCTGACGTCGTTGGAAAAAGGGTCACAGTAAACAATCTTGCACAAAGAGAAATTGAAAGATTTTGTCACAATCTAAGCGACAGACGAAGCAGGATATGGGGGAAGTCCTTCGCAGAGCTAACAACCTGCGCTTGGGAAGTTGGGACCAAACCTCCACAGTCCATGGTTTCCTGCCCTCAATGAATTATTCTTTGCTCATTATGTATGGCCAAGCAAGGCCAGTTCAAACAGACTAGTGACTGAAAAAGCGATAGTAGTCAACGACTGGACATGCCTACCAGCAGAAGTTCGCGTTGGTTTTACACCTGTTACACGAGCAATAAACAATCTCAACCTTTTGATCAGTTTCATGCGTGCGAAAAATAACCACATGTCGTCGATTCGGAATATTCTTGCAGACTCCACCCTCTGACCGTGCGTATAACTAACACAAAGTGCGTCGCAGCACTTGGTCGAAGCGGGGTAGGATACTAGGATTAGGGGAGGCGATAAAGCAATCACACAATTATTTGGAAAGTGATGGGGAAAAGGAAGAGAAAAAGAAACTTTGACAGGAAGGAAATACGCTGCATTTCTTGCCCCGTTCTCTTTCTCTCTTT